TTAACTGCTTCCTCCTCCCTGTCCTTCAACTCCACTGCTGAAGATGAGCATGTGTAATGGAGGCAGAGCTCTCCACCATGTCTGTGAATCTGGGCAATGGCACCAATGTCGGTGGCCACAGCTGGCAGGCCTTCTGCCCAGGAGCGGGTCCCAAGTGCCAAACAACAGTTCTGGATATGGATATCTCTCATGTAGGAAGAACTGCCTCTTCTGTTGCATCCTAGAAGGGGCTACAGGATGCACATGTCTCTCTGCTTTTGGCTGAGATGCAGAAATATGGTGAAAGGAAGAAGAAAAACCCTATTCACATCATGTCTATCCAGAGAGTGATTATTCTTAACACATCTTGTTTCTATTGATATATATTATCCAACCAATCCTTGAGGGGAAGACTCAAAATTCTACAATATGGGATCGGTGCTTTAAATTACTAATATCTTTTAAATATATAATGTGGAGATATTGTGTTCAGTTGTAGAAACAAGCTTGATCACACACACACACCCGGAAACTGTCTTCAACATGTGAAATATCCTCTCTCTGATTATCGCTCATTTCTAGGAAGAGGTCTTTATCCACTGACATACAGCGTGTGCTCTTTGCCAGCTCTTGACGATAAATAGGTTCCTTCCATGAGGCTTTAACAGCCTCTAGAGGAAATCACTTGTAGGCAGCATTAATACATTCTGGAGGTGATGGATGTAAAAGAAGCTCATTAATATTCAAACAAGTATGCTGTGTGTCTGAAGGAGCTTGGAGAAAGGAATAAAGCATGCATGCTTTCGTCCCTGGAACCAAAGCTGCAACTAATCTTCTCACATCTAAATTCCTAGTAAATTAACAGCCCGTGTAGGACTGGAACTTAGGGTGAAGCCCAGAGATGAGGAGCTAAGAGCCTAAGCTACCAACAAGCCACTTTCCATTTTGTCATCATCAACAACTTTATTGCTGTAGCCATGGGCCTTGGCACTTCACCGATAACATTTCCCTTACAGAAAGTTACAATAAAATCTACTTCAAATCTCATCTCTGGCACAATTTTACCAGGAGGCCTTAGGCAAGCACTAACTCACAATCTTAGTTCCCCATCTGCAATATAGGGATGACAACATCAGTCTACCTTATGGGGGTTGTTGTAAGGTTAACTAAGATAACAAGCACTGTGGTTTGAACATGGCTGACTTATAAATGGTACAGTGGGAGCAACTGCACTAGGGCCCAGACTGCAAGGACTATGCCAACAAGGCAGGCAAGGCCACTGCCCAGGCACCATGCCCGCAGTGTCTGGCCACCTCCAGAGAAGCGTGGCCACCATCAGTGCCACTATTGGGCAAGATCTCACCTGTAATTGGCAAAATCTCCCCCAAAATCAGTACCAATGGCTGTGCTGTTTCTCTACCAGTGGTGGATGCTGAGGGGTGTGCTGCGGTGGCAGAACAGGTGGCAGCAGGATCAGGTGGGTGGTGGCGGGAGCAGGGTAAAGCAGCACTTCCCATTTTGCCTCAAGTGGCAAAGCAGGACCCACCGCCCCAGCTGTGCCAACAGAGTTCCTTCGGTGCAGCAACACTTCCATTTCCTCCATTTGTCATGTGCTCCCTCCAATTTTCTTCAGAGGGTACCCAGCCCTCTGGAGCAGATTTCAAGGGTGCACTTGGGGGGACTGCAGGGAAGGAACTGACCAATAATGCTACACCCCTGGCTGACAGAACTGGTCAGATCAAATTCAGAATGTGAGGATGAGGTTGAAGATGGCGAGCATGAACCAGCCAGCTGAAACCTGCAGAAATTTTCTTGACTCTTCCAAGTCCTAAAGTACACAAATGATCTGATTGCAGAGTTTGACACCCCTCCCTCCCCCATGAAGTGCAGTCTCAAGATCATCCATGGGATTACAGATACTCTGAGGCTGTACAAGCAAATGTTTGATGACTTCAAGAGACAACAGCAGCAGCTGCCAATCACCAGGTTCGTCTCAAAGAAACCACCACCAGCAGCAGATGTGCATAGGCAACCCACCTCTGGATCTGAACCACAGCCAAGCATTGCTTCTGGCTACTGGTCAATTCCCCTGGTCCTCATATCATCTGCAACATCATTCAGAAGGGAAAAGCAGGCAGAAGGCTAAGAAGACTAAAAGCAACATTTGTCCCTCACCAGTAAGTGCAGCAATTTTTTTATGGCTTTTAAATAGTTTTCTAGGGGTCATTCTGGCTTTACTCGATTTTGCTTAAACCTGTGATGGCCAGAAAGATAACCCCCACCTAAGATGCAAGTTACCTGTATTCATTTAAGCAGTTGTGTTAGTGCAATGATGTTTAGCTGCACATTGTAACTTCCTGCCCTCTCCTCTCACTCCCCCCCCCATGAGCAGACAGAAGAGAGGGGGGGAGCGAAGTTGTTGTGCTAGGTCATGCCAGCCTTATGCATGAGTGTAGTGGGGGGGCAGGGGGGCACACACCCCCTAAATCAAGCAAATAAATACAAATACTTAACTAACCAATTATGTCACAGATAACTCAGTTCTGCGGCCCCTCTAACATGATGCCCATTTTTATGATGATGATTTGTCTTCTTACTAATCTTTATAAGCTACTCTGCAAGCCTTTTCTAGTTGAAGAGTGGGGTAAACCCACTTTATTTTTCTCTGAGTTGATCATATGCAAAATTTAAAAAATGCTGCTTCAGCAAAGTGGAGTTTGCGTAGGTTCTTGAAGCAATGAGGAATGTTAGTAAAAAGCTGGAGTCAATAAACCAGAAATAAACAACCCTTTTTAAAAAAATGGTGGGAGGAGTTCCTGTGAATCTAAGAGTAACTGAACTGGGTCCATCTAGCCCAGCTCCCTGCTTTCCACAATGACAGTCAGATCCAAGAGGAAGCTCATAAGCAGGGATTGAGGCCAATAGCCTTTTCCTGTTGTTTTGTCTCTCCCCCTTCATCATATTTAGAGGCAGGCGGCTTCCGAAGCTGGAGATGGAAAGGTGGCTGTCAGGGAACTGCCATCGGAAGGACAGGAGGTGGAAGGGCTCCCTGAGGTTGAGACAGGGAACCAGCAGGGGGAGAGGAGGGGCTCCAGGGGAAAGTGAGTCGGAGGGATGGCTCAGAGACACTTCCAGCGAAAACAGTGGGGAGGTTTCAAGACCTCCTATAGGGACACCCACTCCTCGCCGGAAACTGTCACGCCGAGAGTCCAGAAGACGTGTTTCCGTTAAGGAGCTTTTATGCTGGAAGAGATTCCGTAAGAGACCACTTTCGGATTCTGCTAGCGACTGACGGAGCCATGCTGGAGGGGCTCCGCCGTAGGCAGAGGTTTGAGGACTTGACCAAACTCTGAGGGACTTGCATTTTACGCACAAGCAGCTCATCATCCCATTACAGTGGCCATCAAGCCGAGATTGGTTTCTGACACCTCCAGGTTCACAGGAAGTCTACCTCTGAATATGTTGAAGTTGTGGAGATTAGCAACAGAAAAGAGCATTGGGTCTCAAACCCTGCTTTGTCTAATCACCTTTTAAAGGGTGTGCATGCGAATGGTGAACAGCACATAATGTGCTACGTGAAGTAGCCCTGAACGTACTGCTCCCTTTCATGTTTCGCTGGGAGATCCTGAGTTTTAGTGCTACTGAAATTATGAATACCATTGAGTGCCATGCAAACATTTGCACAAAGCAGCATCTGGAAAAATACCTAAAAGACAACTCGCAATCTCTTCTAATCTCATGCAACTCCTTTGCATGTTTACTCACAGACCTAGCCATCCCTCCCATCCTCAGGCAGCCTTCAGGCTCCAAATCCTGTCCTCGTGGGGTTTGAGCCTTGGAGTGTGTGTTTATACGTTTCTCCTCAGAACCTCTGGCACAATGCACTGGTTTTGCCCAATGCAGCCAACACCCACCACCCACGATACTCTTTCACCAAATATTGGGAAACAGCCATCTACAGTGGCCCAGGGATCAAGGGGGCAGGGATTGGCCCCTCCAGGAGCAACGAGTTGAGCCCAGGCTCTCTAATAATATGCATGCTCTTTCTTTTCATTGTGGAATACCCCACAGCTGACTGAAGAGTCATGGAGAAGACAAGGAGTAAAGAAATCACTCCCAACTATTAGCCGCTCCTTCCCTCGACTATCAGGGGCAGCAGGTAGAAGCGCTGGGGAGGGTAATGGTTTGGCTCCACATTTTGGAGCAAACCTTCCCATTTTGCTCCCTTCAGGCCCATACATAGAACCAAATTGTTGATATGTGGATTAAGCCACATAATCAATAGACCAAACTGTGCATGAATCCATATTGTACTTAGGAGGTGATATGAGGGCTGCCTCTTTGCTCCTTTTGCCTTTGTTTTAAATTGCTTGGAGCAGCTCTGTGACTACACCCTTAAAAAAATCCATTTAAAAATGCTTCCAGGATGTGACTGTACCTTACAGGGCAGCCATTTTTTCCCTTCCCCAGGAAGGGACTGCATGTTATGATGTACAGTCACTTCCTCGAAGCATTTTAAAAGGGATTTCTCTTTTTTTGTCATGCAGCCACAGAACTGCTCTAAGCAACTTCAGACATCTAAAGGGTTTGAGGAAGAAAGAAGTAGCTTTCTGAACACCTCATAAGTGCCTTTTTTGTTGTTGTCCTTCCATGGTCAGGTCAAAACTGTTTCATTTCTGCAGGCTTTCAGGAACCGACTGCTTTTAAGGAAAGGGCTTTGAATAGTGCTGTGCTGTTTTCACTCTCTGCATTTTAATAGATGTTTTTACAACATTTTAATTCTCTTATAGTTTAATTACTTTTTAACTATTATATTTTATATGTTTTAGCTAGCTGTTTTAATTTTTGTGGCCTGCCTTGAGTCCAAATTCTGGGAGAAAGGAGGGATAGAAATAAATGTTTGTTTATTTGAAGAAACTTACCAAACAGATTCAGAAAACAATGGGCAGAGAAATATACAAATGTTTTAAAATAGCATGGTCACCCTATACAGTCTTTTCAGAAAGACAAGTGTGCACTATGGATGTGGTTTCTTAGTTTTGTGATCTTCCTCTCACACATTTATAAAAAATGCTATACATACTCACATCTCTGCTTTTATAATTCAAAATATCACTTTGTTGTTGTTGTTGTTTAGTCGTTTAGTCGTGTCTGACTCTTCGTGACCCCATGGACCAGAGCACGCCAGGCACCTCTGTCCTCAAAATATCACTAGGAATATATAGATAGATAGGCAGATGCAGCTAACAGCATTTTTTTCCTCCTTCAGACATTATGGGTCTTGTTTTGCTGTTAACAAACTTCTTGTGTCACACCATTCACCTGGTGCCAAAAAAGAAAAGCAGAAGCAGATGATTCTTCTGCAGCTGACCTCCCAAGCCTGGGAAAATTAAAACCATCCAAGTTAAATATAAGTTCTTCCATTTAGAAAATGTCAGTCTGGCAGCCTTTACCTGACCGTTTAGCTGGAGCTCCTAACTTGACAGAGAAGTGAGCCTTTTTGGATAGCTAGGGGTTAATCCAGTCTGCCATCCAAGCCAGGGGAGAGAAGCAGATTCCCAGATGCCCCTGCTAGAGAAATTAATCCTGGAGCTTAGCATCTGGATCCTTCAACTGCCAAGCTTGCCCCAGTAGTCTGTTTCATCACTGGGCCAGATTAAATAAGAATGAGGAGCAGGAGCAGGTTCTGCACCGTCAGCGACAAGGAAAAAAACACACCTCCAAACCAAATCAGTTTTACCATTGCGTGTTCCCATGCTAATGTGCATTTAAACAACGTGCCACTTTAAAGCTATATCAAAGAAATCACAGCCAAGCTGTCAGTGCGCTTTTCACAAAAGTTAGAGGTAGGGGAGGAAGTGTATATAGACAGTTCCATTAGGACACCACCTGTTTCTTATGTATACAGTTTATAGTGTGGGACTAATGTATTTTGTTCCAGGCATCTTGCAAAAATTGCCTGATATTTTCCTCCATTTATTAATGCAACTTGCAACAACAGATGGGGCTTGAGCTGCTGAATTCTGATCAGGATTTCAATCCCTTGAAGCTCAGCCATTTATTACAGCAGGGAGATTACTTTGGAAGTAGCAGCAACCGGCAGCATCTGAATATTGAATCAGATTTTGAACAATATAAAAGTGAGGGTGTTTGGGACATCACTCTGAGTCAGCAAGAGCTGGCCAGCTCACAGCCCTAAACTTGCTGACTGTTTACAAAAAGGGCCCTGATATAAGCAGGCTTTGTGTGGGGACTCAGGGTCAGCCTTGTCTGTGAGCTCGGACACAAGTATTCTCTGGTTTCAATCTGATAGTAATTTTAGCCCTGTTTCTTACATTCATTTCTGACAAAATGTGACTTTTGCCCATAATTTTTCACATGATTACTTTTCTTGGGACATCTTATATGCTATCTTCTCACCCTTACCTCTCTTTATATCCCTGCTTGTGACCCCCACTCTTTCAGCTTGACCTTTTTCCCTTAGCTGTCCATAAAGGCTCCTGCCCAATGTCCCACGCTGGAGCTTTGTGGCTCAGATTCCCAGAAGGGCAGGAGGACTGCCCTGCAGAGCAAAACAGAGAGTAACTCAAGAGCAAAACTGAGGAAACAACGAAGAACCTATCCCCCTACAGCTAAGAGTAAAAACAAGGAGTTATGCAACAGAGGTGCTGCATGAGCAGCATCTGGAGGGCATATGGATAATACCCGGCTTGCAACTCTATATAAAATGAAAGTGAGGCTTGATATCAGTAAAACTGAAGTCAATGGCCATTCGTTGAGAACAGTAATAGGAAAGGACCATACTGTCCACCTTCTAAACACTGATGTAGAGCTACGTACCCAGATTCAGTGGGCTCTTATGTGCCCCCTTCATGGCCTGCATTCTGGAGTTTCCATTTATGCATGTGGGTTTCTTGTGCCCACCTCTAGAAATGTCCCATCTGATTTATTTGTGCTGGAACATTCTACTTAAACACTTACAGTGAACCAACTCTCTCATCCCTTAAGCACAAAACCCATTTTTTCCATGGCTTAAAGGTAAAGGTAAAGGACCCCTGCCTGTTAGGTCCAGTTGCGGACGACACTGGGGTTGTGGCGCTCATCTTGCTTTACTGGCCGAGGGAGCCGGTGTTTGTCCGCAGACAGCTTCCGGGTCATTTCACCAGCATGACTAAGCCACTTCTGGCAAACCAGAGCAGCACACGGAAATGCTGTTTACCTTCCCACCGGAGCGGTATCTATTTATCTACTTGCACTTTGAGGTGCTTTTGAACTGCTAGGTTGGCAGGAGCAGGAACCGAGCAATGGGAGCTCACCCCATCACGGGGATTCGAACCGCCGACCTTCCAATCGGCAAGCCCTAGGTTCTGTGGTTTAGACCACAGCGCCACCTGCGTACCTTTTCCCATGGCTTAATGCCCCTTAATACTTATCCCAACTGAACCAATGTCTAAATATGTGCAGAAAGGTGAGGGATTCATTCCTGATCCACATAAATAAGCAGATTAGAAAGCAGCTATCCTTCAGTTTTCACACTTCTCCAAATTTTGCAGTATGGTTCTGATTTAAAAACCTAGTCAACTGCACATAAAATGCAAGTTTTCATGCTTTTTAAAATTGCAGATTTATGGAGAAATGTAACAGAACAGACTTAAGGAGGAAAAACTATTCTGGAGCAGAAATAGATGGATCTGTCCATCCTTAAGAATATGTCATTTTTCTGCTTTCCTTTTTAATGTCTAGTTATGTCATGAAAGAAAGGTTAAAATTCTACTGGTCCATTTAAAAGAAATGTTCACCATTCCAGCCTAGCATGGAAGTTGGTTCTAGGCATTACTTTGGAAAATGTGAAACAGAGGCACAAAGTTTGTAGGACTATTACAAATAACACTCAAATATCAAAGTGTATTTTAAATTTGTTAGAATTGCTTCATAATAACTGCACAGTGTTTTCAGCACAAGCAGCAGAATCACATTTCTTTGTCCTCTGTCTCTGCATTGCTTTTTAGACATAGATTCAGCATGTCCAGGTAGTTCTTAGGCACATTTAATTGTTTATTGTTTAGAACAGCCTTCCACTGGGCATTCACCTTGTAGTCATAGGTGACGAGGAATTGTATGCCAGCAAGGAAGACATTTTTTTACACAGGCTGCCACAATCAGGGCAGGTTGCCTGTTCTGCCTCCTTCCCTTTGGTGCTTGGCATGGCAGCGATTGGGCGGGTGGTGCCTACTCACAGCTCTGCAAGACTTAATCCCAAAGAATCGAATGAAACAATTATGCATAAACAGTTTTGTTCTGCCCATAAATAGGCTAATTTTGTTTTTGTAAGTTGGTAGCTTTTGTAGGTTCATTCATAGGGCTGGTTTAAAATGAGAAAGTTGGTAAGAATTACAGTGGTACCTCGGGTTACAGACGCTTCAGGTTACAGACGCTTCAACTTACAGATTTCGCTAACCCAGAAATAGTACCTCAGGTTAAGAACTTTGCTTCAGGATGAGAAAAGAAATTGCGGCGTGGTGGCAATTAGCTAATGTGGTACCTCAGGTTAAGAATGAACCACCAGAATGAATTAAGTTCTTAACCCAAGGTACCACTGTATAGATTGCAAACCTGAAGAATCATCACATTATATTAAAGCCAGGGAGTTAGGGAGAGCTGCTGTCCACTAAAATTAGGGCCTAAATGTTGGGCTTCTGAGGCATTTGAATACCTGCTGTTGTGATTTTCCAGTCCCCAAATGACCTAGGTTCTTTTCTATGTAGATTTTGCTTCACACTTTTTCAAAACATATATTAATACTGAGGAATTTTGATGATATCCTTGAAAGACAGACCTGCATGAAACCTTTCTATTGATGCTGCAGAAGTGGCTTAGGTTTGTGAGGCTACTCACCTACAAAACTCTGATTTCCAAGGCAGCACCCTTAAAAGATAATGAGTTCCCAAGAGAGAGAGCCTATATTTTACATCAACACTGAGTTTTCTTCACTGCTTGAAGGAATTATTTTGGTTTGTCTGTGTGACATGGGACTAGGTTAGTTTAAAGGTGGCTTTGGGCTCTGATGTAGATGTGCAATCTGTTGGGGGAAACTCTAACACAAAGCAGAGAAGGTGGCGGTTTTTATCTGATGGATGCCTGTTGAGATTTAATTGTACACTGGCATGTATTAGTGAACTGGACACCTATTCATTTGTGAGTAGCTACAGACAGAGCCCTGCTGCTTGGCATTATACTTTGTCACCAGCTTCCCCATTTTATTGTCTCCATATCTTGGTTACTTCAGCTGAAATTTTGACAAGTGACAGGCTGGTGACCTTAATCTGTCCATTTTACCCTCTTTGCTTCCTCTTCGATGAAAGCACACAACTGGGAGGTCAACCTTTGGTAAGGACCTAGCCTATCACAATGTCAATAATTTGTTATTACGGATGTTCCTAACTTAATGCTCCTCACTAATATCCCTGCAGTAATGATTTAAAAAGCAAGCCCCAACCTGTATTCAGTAAGCCAGCATATCCTACATTAGAAGTGGAAAGCTGAGGCTGAGAGATATTGACTTGCCTAAGGCCCCCTCAGTATGGGCCAAATTAGAGGTTATCTTGCCAAAAGCATGCAATCAAGTCCCAAGCTTTTTATAATGGGAGACAAGAAGGTCTGAGGGGAGGAAGAGTGTGGTGGGAGAAGAGGATATTGAGCATATGAAAAAATGCTACACCTGCACACCTGAAGTGATACAATCCAGACTGTTGCCACTTCAGTCTACACAATACGTAGACCTGCTTACAGAGGCATTTAGGAAACAGCAAGGAAATTAAAGTAGTTTCAAATTTACCTACAGGATTTCCACTTCAGAACAATATTTTAGATTTATTTGTAAAGATGGAAATTCACTCTTAGAAATGTGAGGGGATACGTACCCCCAGTGAGCTAAGATGTACATTGCACTGGTATGATCTTTACTGCATTTTTCAAATAACTCATCATAACAAACCATTGTTGCTTGGGGCACATTCAAATTATAACATTTTCCTCACTGAGAATGAGTACAATGTACCTCTGGAGCTGTTAAGAGTATCCAAATATGCTCTGCAAACATTCAGAAGCTAAGAGCACAAACCTAGGAGAGAGCGCCAAATTAGCTTTACTTAAAAGGATTTAATGGGAACCTAATTTTTAGAAAGGTTACCGCCATTTGGCAATTAGACGATGATAGGGAGACAGAAAGTTCTATGAATTAATACCAAACTGCTGTGAGTAAGGTAATTAATTTATTCTCACCCTTTGGTGACATTAATTTGATGCAACCTTCCTTGATTGGCACTGTGATAGTTCAGAACTAACAAGATCAGACCATCGCTGTTTTCTCTTTGGCTGATCATTTTTTCTGTATTTTTCATGTATTGTGGTGGAGATGGCAAACTAGGCATGACCCATGGGCCAAATCCTGTTTTCAGGGATTTAGATCCTGCAAAATAGTAAATCAGTTTATGGTAATATGGTTGCCCAGTTTCACCTATAAGAAAGAACATTTTCAAGCTGCATAAAAAAAAAGAACCTGGAAAAGTTAATAATTTAATTATACACCTTTTTTATTTTCTTCTTTTCATATGTAATATGCATGTAATGTGTGCACATTTGTATAAAATACTGTGTCTTGGTGTAAGGGCTTCGTGGGTGTGACCCCTGATTGCTGGATGGTCCCAGCTTTATTACGCAGCCTGAGGGGTCGGTTTAAGTGACAAAATACTTCCAGCCTTCGGTCTGGAGATCCTAATAGCTCCAAAGAATGCAGAAATTGTTCACTAGTGCATTATGAAATTGGTATCTCATCAATATATGGGGAGATATATTATATTTCTCTTTGAATTATACCAATTATTCCTTAATTTACACCTAAAAATATGAATCCTCACATGCAAATTTTATGCGTTGGCGTCGCTTTGGTCTTTTTTTGCTGGTGCAAGTCCTCCTTTATCGGCAATTCATAACTGGCCATCCTATGTCTGTCTCAGTTTGCTCTTAGAGCCTGTGTTCATGGTTCCACCTGGTTCAGATAATTGTGTTTTCTAAAGAAATACACCAGTGTTCTCTCTGCCTAATTTGCACATCAAGAAAATGTTTTGTGTGGGCACTGTAGCTTGCTTGAAAGTTCTTCTCCTTGTTTGCTTTCCTTGCTGTAATTTCAATTCAGTTGGTTAATACTTTCTGCACAGAAAATTATACCACCTAAATTTGCTTTGTCAAAGGCAAAAGGACTTCAGGGGGGGAAATATGTTTAGGATGGGAGCGTTAATGAGAAATAGGCTGTTATTTCTCTTTCAGAAATAATCTAACATGGGCTATAGCTCACACACCAATAAATGCATTTTGTCTCTCCTCAATTTTCTGGTGCCACACTGGTTATCTTTTATTAACTTGGTAGTCATAAGAAGAGCCCTACTGAATCAGGGTAAAGGCCCATCTGGCAGAGGCAGACTTTGGGCTCTCCAATTTCAGCACCCTGCGCAACACTAAAAATTGGCGCCTCCCCATCTCTCTTGTGCTCCATTGTACAGCATT